CAAAAAAAATGTGGGGAAAAAAGCATGGGGTCCCCCTAAATTTCCTACCACACCCTTGATCCAAGCACAGGCCTGGCAGACCAGAAAAGGTGGTGACAAGCAAGTATATAATATTCAGGGGCGGACTGACCATTTGGAAACTCGGGCGCTGCCTGAGGTCCGGGGTCAGTAGGGGGCCCCATGAGATGCCCCTGGTACCTTTTTCATAGGCTTTTTTGAGTTTGGGCAAGGACACAGGGGCCCCATGATCCCCTATTGCCCGGGGGCCCCATGAGTTTGTCAGTCTGCCCCTGCCTCTGACTCTAATGTCTCCTAAAGTCCAGTTGTAGTCAACACTTTCTTTGTTGGTTTGTATGGGGAGGAACTGAATCTTTCACTTTCCGTGCTCTCTTTGGATAGAATTTCATTCATTTCATGTTCCGATGACAGGTGGTTAGATGGACGAGAAATGATAGAAAATATCACAAAATAGACACAAACAACAATAAAAACACATTTTTAACCTCTCCCTGCCCAGCCCTGGTGTTTCTTTAGCTGGGTCTTTGTGCTATGGGGAGGGCTGGACTTTCTGACCAGTTAACCACTGTAATTAGCCTTCACAGTGGTCACATGATCTGGAGCCAGTTCTATGGGCTCCTGATAATTACTTGAGACTTAGAGATGTCTTTGAAAACCTGATCACTTTGCTGTGAATGACCAGTGGGACTGGTTCCCATAGCTTCTTCTCCTCTATACTCTAGTGATCTAAGGTTCTCTGACAACATGAAGAGCAATGTAGGTATCATAGCCTTGAATTGGACTTGAATTGGACAGAAGTCTACACTAAGACACAAGTCAGATTTCATTTTTGGTGAGATGCTCCTAAATGGTTAATCACTTCTAAAGGGATCCAGACACTGCAGCTTTCTTTTGCCCTGCAAGTGCATCAGCCGATCAATAATGGATTCAAATTCAAATCATTATCCAAAAGACTTTGCTGAAACAGTTATTCTTTCAGGGCAGAAAAACGTAGGAATCTGCAACACAGTTTGTTCAAAAAGCCTTACATTGTACTTCGATCACCCAGAGGGGATTGATTTTTTTCTCAAGAAAAGTGGAGTTACTGTTAAAGGATTAGTTGGTCAACCAGTTGAGATGCCTACACATCAATCCTGTGATATCAATCAAAAGAGACCATGTGACCGCTGTCTTGGCACTGGTAATGTAACCTGGTGCTAGAAGGAGCTCAAATATCCCTTTTTAGAGCTACAGGACCGCTACTGCAATAAAGGGAAGCATATATTGGGCCCCATGAGTTGTCAGTCCGCCCCTGATAATATTGGCACTTTTTTAATGAACTTTATTTACATTTTTTAGATTTTAACTGTATATTCATTCTTGGTAAATTTCGTAGCACATTTTTTCTTCAATTTCTATAGTTCACACATTAATTGAGGACACAATACATTTCTAGGTATTTCTTAGTTTTTATTTATTTTGGAAGAAATACAGCTCTATCATACATTAATTTGCAATGCTACTTTTATGTGTATTATTGATCCGTCTGATTAATGTAGCAACCGGCTCTTTACTAGACCTCATTACAATATGGACTACACACACGGTCCAGTTAAATGCAAAAAGTAAATGATCTCTTTTTTTGTTTTTAACAACAAATAAATTGGTAATTTCCCCAGTGAACGAATCCCTGATGTGAAACAGTTTCAAATAAATTTTTCTTTGCCCCAGCACTCTGGGATTAATTTATTGCCATAATAATTACTGACTAATTGTACCGTAAATCTCACAACACAGAAATGATGTCTAATCATGGACTAATAAAAGCTGATTCCTCCTGTTGTATCTCTACCGGCTGCTATCTGGCTTTCAGCTTCCTACAAACTCTCTATGATATGCGGTAGCTAATTGTGGATGTCATTATGTAAATATAAACGCAAAATGTATCAACTTAAAAATAAAAAAAAACACCTGCTGAACTCTTGATATCTGAACAATGAACTGATACTTTGGATATCCCAATATTTTCTGTCATACAAAGTTCCAGCTTCCAGAAGATGACTGTGCTGTTATCTAGCAGATCAAATGAAAGGAGTGAGTATCTGTAAATATATATATATATAATATATATATATATATATATATATATAGTATTTTTAGTTTTGTTTATGAACACAAAAGGGGACCAAAAAAAAGTCTTCTTCTCTTCAGCCTTAATATGTACAGTATGGACTTTATGACTTTATATCTGCTTTATCTTGCACTTAATTTGGATTTAAAGCCCTTTTATATGCTCTCAAAATAACAAATGCACAAAAATGCTTATAATAATAATAAAAATAATAATATTATAAATAACAACAAAAGCAGCAATGGTAATTAAAGTAATAGCAACAGTAATAATAATATAAAAATACATTCAAGAATAATACTAAATATAATATTAAATAACACGTTTTCCCATAGACTGATCACATTAAACAGTTTGGTGCATTGCACCCCTAAGGATTTATTTATTTGCCAATCAAAACTGACTTTAAATTCAGTCTGTTTAAATAAGGCCAAATTAAATGTTTTTATTATCTGCAGATTAAATGTTATTTATGAAAACAGTGTAAATGGGTAAAATACCACAGTGTGGCTACTAGATGGCATGGAGGACTTATTTCCTATGATACTTAGCAACATATAGTGGCCATAATGTAGTATTTTTCTCAACAACAATGTTATTTTTAGTGAATAACATTTGATCTGCATAGAATATGGTCTGAGAACATTTGATTTTACACCTACAATGAATGAATGGCTGTGTGTGTGTGTATATATATATATATATATATATATTTTTTTTTTTTTTTTTTTTAAATAAATTTACCGAACAGTGTTACCAGTGTCTACATAGAGGTTATTGAACAAGTAAACATACATGCTGGGTACAATTTGCGATGTATGTGATACTTCTTACAACTCTCACCTCTGGGATTGGTATGGAGTTTGTGGAAGCCATTTCCTGCAATGAACAACACGGGGCTCATTTACTAAAGAAGTGGAGACTGTTAACTTAGCAAAGGTAATGTTCACTTTTGAAAGTGTATGTTTACACAACCTAGAGTCCTGGTGCCCAACAGGCACCCCAAGGGCCACATGTGGCCTTTTGGCACTTTTTCGTGCGGCCCTCAGGTTCCATGCAGATACTAATGTGTGTTTCCTCATTGCCCTGTTAGAGCAGTGATCTCTAGAAGTCTCATGTAATTTGTCTCCAGTCTATGACTCTCTTGAAGCATGACCCCAGTCTCCAAAAATTATTTATTATGTTTGCGGTTTCTGACAGTTTCCTCCAGCATGTCTGCAGTCTCTGACCATCTCTTGTATCATGTCTGCTGTCTCTGACCATCTCCTGTATCATGTCCAGAGTCTCTAACCATTGCTTGTATCATGTCTGCAGTCTCTGACAATCTCTTATATCATGTCTGCAGTCTCTGACCAACTCTTGTATCATGTCTGCAGTTTCTGACCATCTCTTGTATTATGTCTGCAGTCTCTAACCATTACTTGTATCATGTCTGCAGTCTCTGACAATCTCTTGTATCATGTCTGCAGTCTCTGACAATCTCTTGTATCATGTCTGCATTCTCTGACCATCTCTTGCATCATACCCACAGTCTCTGACCATCTCTTGTATCATGTCTGCGGTCTATGATCCATCTCTTGTATCATGTCCATCTGACCATCGCTTGTACCATGTTCACAGTCTCTGACCATCTCTTGTATCATATTTGACAGTCTCTGACCATATTTTGTATCATACCTACAGTGTCTTCTCATTATTTGTATCATGTCTGCAGTCTCTGATCATAACTTGTATCATGTCTACAGTCTCTGACAATCTCTTGTATCATGTTCACAATCTCTGACTATCTCTTTTATCATACCTACAGTCTCTTTCCATCACTTGTAGCATGTCTGCAGTCTCTAACCATCTCCTTTATCTTGTCTTCAGTCCCTGTCCTTGTCTTGTATCATGTCTGCAGTCTCTGATCATTTCTTATATCATAATCACAGTCTCTGACCATCTCTTGTATCATACCTATAGTCTCTTCCCATCACTTGTATCATGTCTGCAGTCTCTGACCATCTATTGTATCATATCTGCAATCTTTGACCATCTCTTGTATCATGTCTTTAGTCCCTGGTAATCTCATGTATCATGTTTGAAGTACCTATCCATCTTTTGTATCATGTCTGCAGATCTCTGACCATTCTATAATGTATCATTCCCAGTCTCTAACCATCACTTGTATCATGTCCATAGTCTTTGACTATACCTGTTGCATGCCTGGTGTTTCTAGTATTTAATATTAATTTAATTTTATGTTTTTTTTTATTTGAGCAATTTTCATTAGAATTTGTTTTAATTTACTGTATAACAAATATGGTGTGATTTCATTCATCAACAACTCTGCCAATGGAACAATAAAATAAAATTTTGGCTGACATTAAGGTGTTGGTGGGCCACAAGATACTATAAGTGGCAACCTAAAATGCCCTCCACAGACTTCCTATTAATGGCTTTATGGATTTCATTTCAGGTATTGGTGAGCTACAAGATACCATGAGTGGACAACCTAACGCTCTCCATAGACTTCCTATTAATGGCTTTACTGGATTTCATTTCAGGTGTTGGTGAGCTACAAGATACCATGACTGGCATCCTGACGCTCTCCACAGAATTCCTATTAATGGCTTTACTGGATTTCATTTCAGGTGTTGGTGGGCTACAAGATACTATGAGTGACAACCTAACGCTCTCCACAAACTTCCTATTAATGGCTTTACTGGATTTCATTTCAGGTGTTGGTGGGCTACAAGATACCATGAGTGACAACCTAACGCTCTCCACAGACTTCCTATTAATGGCTTTACTGGATTTCATTTCAGGTGTTGGTGGTGGGCTGCAAGATACCATGACTGGCAACCTAACGCTCTCCACAGACTTCCTATTAATGGCTTTATCGGATTTACCGGACATCAAAGTGCTTCTCTTTTGTATCCTTCTTCTCCTCTACCTTCTAACACTCACAGGTAATACAGTCATCATTGTCGTGTCCTATTTGGATAGACACCTACACAAGCCAATGTACTTCTTTTTGGGCAATTTAGCTTTCCTTGACATCTGTTACACATCAACCACAATGCCCCAAATTTTACAGGTTCTTCTAGCCAAGACAAAGTCAATCACATTTATTGGCTGTGTAACTCAGGTTTTTTTCTTTGTGGTGTTTGTGGGCACTGAACACATCCTTCTCTTGATAATGTCCTATGACAGATTTTTAGCTATATGTCGCCCTCTCCGATATATGGTCATGATGAGCCAAAACGTTTGTGCCAGGTTGGCCTTTGTGTGCTGGTTTATTGCTGTTGTGAACTCCACAGTTCATACCTCCGTCACATTTCGCCTTCACTTTTGTAGAACCAGAAAGATTGAGAATTTTTTTTGTGACATCCCACCACTGCTTTCTATTTCCTGCGATGATACATCCATAAATGAGGCTCTGTTGCTCTCCGTTGGGGCTTTCATTGGGTGGGCACCATTAATTAGCATAATCATCTCGTACATATACATAATTGTCACGATAATGAAGATCAAATCTGAAGAAGGAAGACAAAAAGCATTTTCTACGTGTGTCTCCCATCTTACTGTCGTGATCCTGTATTATGGAAGTGCTATTTTCAATTATGCAAAGCCAGCTTCCGCACATTCTACAAGTAACGATCGACTCATTTCAGTCTTGTATAGTATGGTGATTCCAATGTTGAACCCGGTGATATACACCTTAAAGAATCAGGACGTCAAAGATGCCATCAATAGACAGTTCATCCAAAAAACAAAACTCTAAACTTGAAAATCTGTAAAGTAGAAATAAATAAACATTATAAGACCCTTCAAAAAATATGTGCTGTACCTATTTTGTAACCTATTATTTTTTTAGATACGTTTCCATATATACGTAAATCCTTAGCAATAAAAAAGCAATAAAAAAATGGCTAAATCAAGTTACAAAATATGCAGATATCTGTACTGATCAGATGGAAATCTACTGTAGTCTAGCCGGGGCACCCGACTACAATGGTATGACACAAAGTCCTTTCTCCAAAATGCATTTGCTTTGCTACCCCCATGCGGAGTTGTAATTTTGCTGCTCCATTCCCTTCTGTCAAGCAAGGTGGGGGGGGCAAGTTACTGCAAGCTGATAGACTTTAATACAGAACACCTAGGATTTTGGGAGATGTAGGTCAAGGCAGAAGCCATTTTAATGAGACTACAAATCTCTATAGCCTGTGGGCAGCAGGAGAAGCCAGGAATTTTTTATACTCTTTCCCTGGGAAAAGCCCACTCTGTTAGCACCATGGGGGCTAGTGTTGGGGACATAAGTTCGGCTTGAACATCGGCCCATTTGTGTGTTTGGCTGTTCGCCCCCCACAATGCACAGTGCCCTGACAGTGCATTGTGATTGGCCAAAGCAATGCACCTGATCACAGGTCTGGTGAAATGCTTTGGCCAATCACAGAGCATTATGATGTCACAAGGGGTAGGGGTGACCCCGCTCCCTTGTGACATCATCACCGTATTTAAGAACTGTGATCCCAGCACAGCTGTCAGATGGCAGGAGCCAGCTTCGAGAACAGAGCTTTTTTTTTTTTTTTTTTTTAAGGTCGGTGGTGGCGTTGGGCATCATGATTGACGTTGGATCTACTTTGGGGGCATTTTTTTTTATTTTGGTTTTTAATAAAGGACTTGCCAAAAACAGTTTTCTGTCATTTCTTACACTACACTTTTTTCTTTGAATGAGTAGTGATACCATGTACCCATGCTCATTCACAATACGGAGGGGGTTTATCAGGGGGCCCCCTTGTTTAAGGGGGCTTCCAGATTCTGATAGGCCCCCCTGCCCTGCCCACAGACCCCCAAAACCACTGGCCAATGTTGTGGGGTAGAGTCCCTTGTCCACATTAACATGGGGACAAGGTACTTTGGGCTCCCCTGCCCCAAAGCATCCCCCATGCTGAGGGCATGTGGCTTGGTATGGTTCAGAAGGGGGTGGGGCATTCACTCATCCCCCTCTTTTCTGACTTGCTGGGCTACATGCTTGAATAAGGGTCTGGATTTTTGGGGGGGACCCCCACCCCATTTTTTTTTTATTTTGATGCATGGGGGGGTTCCCCACAAAATCCATACCAGACCCAAACAGCTTGGTATGGATGGGACATTTTTTTTTAATTTTAAATTGTCTGCAATGCCAGCAATTCTTTTTACATTCAGCTGTCAGCGGGGAACACTAGAATGTTTTCACTACTAAAATACCATATGACTTAACAATATAACTCATGCAGTATTTTAGTAACTGTGTGGTATCTTACCGAATACTCAGGTGCATTTAGATACCACTTAGTGAATTTTCCATCTGTTCGAAGATCACAGTCAAATTTTCGTTAGGTTCAAATGTTCGAACTGTGAACCAAACGGGGGGATTTCGGGCCATCACTAATGGGGACCCAAGCAGACCAGAGCAATTGAAAGAGCCACTGGGAGTAGGCCTGAAGTTGTCTAGGTCAGAATCGACACCCCTTCAATTCACATATTGAGATGCTGCTGAGAGATCAGTGCATCCACTCCGCCATCATCCATAGCCAAGAGACCTGGATATCCTCCAGATCAGCTGAACTGCCAGTCAAGTCACTTCAGCACCATCTAAAGAGGCAGGCCCCTTTCATCACAGGACTTCATTGCCCCACAAAGAGTTGGGCAGGCCCCCTTTCACCACAAGACTTCACTGCCCCACAAGGAGTTGGGCAGGCCCCCTTTCATCACAAGACTTTACTGCCCCACAAGGAGTTGTGCAGGCCCCCTTTCATCTCAAGACTTCATTGCCCCACAAGGAGTTGTGCAGGCCCCCTTTCATCACCAGACTACATTGCCCCACAAGGAGTTGGGCAGGCCCCCTTTCATCACAAGACTTCATTGCCCAAAAGGAGTTGGACAGGCCCAATTTCATCACAAGACTCATTGCCCAAAAGGAGTTGGGCAGGCTCCATTTCACCACCAGACTTCATTGCCCCACAAGGAGTTGGTCAGGACCCCTTTCATCACAAGACTTCATTGCCCCACAAGGAGTTGGTCAGGACCCCTTTCATCACAAGACTTCATTGCCCAAAAGGAGTTGGACAGGCCCAATTTCATCACAAGACTCATTGCCCAAAAGAAGTTGGGCAGGACCCATTTCATCACAAGACTTCATTCCCCCACAAGGAGTTGGGCAGGACCCCTTTCATTATAAGACTTCATTGCGCAAAAGGAGTTGGGCAGGCCCCATTTCATCACAAGACTTCATTGCCCAAAAGGAGTTGGTGAGAGGGTCACCGGCCCATCTATACCCTTGGTAGTAGACATAATGTTGAGGGCATAATACCGCTAACATTTGTATTGTAGGCCAATCTCACCAGTTATGATTTTGGTCACTTGAGTTCACCTGCTGGTGATCCCTCTAGTGATACGCCACAAAATTCTATTTCTAGAACTGATAATAATGCAAAGTGGATGGGCCCCATATTTGTAACCCTTCTGCCAAATCACTCATCAACACAAATGAAAATGGCATTGTCAGCAGTCTAGTGCTCCACTTTATATTACAGCCATCATCCACATCTGATAGCTGTGATAGAGATGATGGAGTCGCTTGTCTAAAATACGATTTGAATATAATTAGTGAGCTCTTACCTGATTGAGCATCAGGCTCAAAATCTGAATTATCCAAATAATCTGTGAATGGGATATGGTGACAATCCATCGAACATCTTTTAAACACAATGCCTAAAATAATAAATGAATGTTTAATGGAAAGCTGAGACCATGCTTCTACATAATCGTCAATAGAACGTAGTCATTTGAACTTATTTCAAGTGTCACCCTTTTTTTTTTCAAGTTAATGTTCAATTTAACAGTTTTACAGCATAGATATGAGATGAGAAGTTCAGAACTTACACAGAGTAATTCTTTGTGGGCGTTCAGGATACTTTACAGATGTCTATTCCTCGGATTGGGGTTTAGATCAAGGAAGATTCTCACCAATCACAAAACAATATATCCTTCATATTCTTGGTCTAGTTATTTAGCCAAATCCCAAGAATTCTATAACGTGCGCTGATTTTGCTGCGGTAGAACTTACACATTGATTAGTTTTCAGAGAAAAGCAATCTGAGCCAAGTTTAAGCTGCAGTGGAATGATGGTAACAGAGCTACAAGTCTATTACTAAGTCAAACTAATCTGCACCAGCAATATAGCAAAAAACTGCTGATAATAAAAAAGTCAAAAATATTGAAAATAAATTCCAAAGCTCCCCTAAATCAAAATAATACATATATATCAATACTTTTACTGGGAAAACACTGAAAATGTGAATGTGTATCGTAAGACATGATAGTGTTTCAAGAACTCTTATCAACACTTTATACAGCACCAAAAACTCATATTAATTGCACCATTTCAGTGTATAAGTTTTATTGTCACACAAAAAAACAAACAAACAAAACAGAAAACAGATTTGTGTCCTAAGATATTAAGGAGTCTATTTTTACAAAAGATTCACAATTTTCACCACATGTACTAATATATATATATATATATATATATATATATATATATATATAAAATGTATTGTTTTTTTTTAATTATTACTGTTATGTATTTATTTTTTTGAGGTGCTTTTTTGTCTCTTAATTTTTGTTTTTTTTAATGGTTTTTGCACCATTCCTTTTTCTTATTGTGAGAAAAATTACACCCATGTTATGTTTTTTGTTTACAAAATTCATTTTTGTAATAATCTATACTACTGAGGCTATTGTTTCAACGTGACAAATTATATTTCTTGCATATGAAAAATTTCTTAATATAAATTATTGATTAGAAAAAAATATATAATACAACAAAATATACCCCCAAAAAAGTCAAAATTCTCACCAAATAATCTTCAGGAGCCATTTGGGGCTTATATCCAATTTAAAAAAAACAACCTCAGATATCCACTTTAGGACGCTTTCCCTCCCCATTGACTCAAAGCAAATAATGACTTTTGTTTTAGCAAATGTCAGGAATTAAGTTACAGTGAAGATCGTTTGTTTCTCTCATTGCCAATGTTGTAAGCAATGCTAAGTTTAAAAACAATTTACACTTTCAATAAATGTATATTTTCTTTACCATATACAGCACATACAATGATATTGCTGTAAAAGTCAAGATACATCAATTAGCACTTTAATTACTTGATTTTCACTCTTACCTCAGTCCATAGATATGGTAAGTGATGGGAAACTGTTGTATAAATACATTTTTAGTGTGACTGTTTAATACTGTGGTTATATAAAGATTGCGGTTCTGTGACTAATAATCACATCTGTAGATAAAAACTCCTTCTTAAATTCTTCACATAATGACCCTAGTGCTTGGAAAAAGAAATAAAGGCACACACACAGACAAAAAAAAATTTGCAAACACCAACAGCATGGAATTTCCACCTATTTTTCTTTAAAAATAGAGCATCTGATAATAATTACTAAATATTGTGCATTAATATGTATCAACAGATACTGTCACTTTTTTAACGCATTATACATTTTATGAACAAACACTTAAAGAAAATATTTTAACAGGAACAAGAAAAATAAAACAGCTAGGTAAAATTAGCATATTTTGGATTTGCAGGCGCAATTAGTAATTGGGAACAAAATTCAGTTAAACAATTGATTTTAACAAATCCATTTTATCATGTTTTATGAAGCATTATTTCTTAAATGTATTGTAGGCGTTATCAGGAAATGTATTGTAGGCGTTATCAGGAAATG